TAATTCCAGATACTCGGAAGGCTGAGGCGGAAGGATCGCCGGAGCCCAGCAGGTCGAGGCTGTGGTGGCCGGGAGCAGCCACTGCACTCCAGTCTGGGCAGCAAAGTGAGACTCCAACCCAAAAATAAATAAATAAATAAATAAATAAAAGGTTAGCCAGGCTCAGTGGCTCAGCCTGTAATCCCACGCCTTGGGAGGCTGAGGTGAGTGGATTGCCTGAGCCCGCGGGTTCGAGACCCACCTGGGCATATTGGTGAGACCTCATCTCTACAATAAATCAAAAATTAGGTGGGCGTGGTAGCGCACACCTGTAGTTCCAGCTACTTGGAAGGCTGAGGCGGAAGGATCGCCGGAGCCCAGCAGGTCGAGGCTGCAGTGGCCGGGAGCAGCCACTCCACTCCAGTCTGGGCGACAGAGTGAGACTCCAATTCAAACAAAAAAGGCTGAGGTCTCAGCATGTGTGAAGGGAAGAGTTATATGAGCACAACAGCCCATGAGCCCAGGTGATGGATCTGAAGACGTTTCCTCTGGTGGGAAATTATGCCTGAGCTCAATGAGAAGGGAGAACACAAGTTAGCCAGGCGAAGTTGAGGTGACCCACAGAGACACGCTTTTGTGCTTAATATGGGAACTGAGAGACGTCTAGAAACCATCTGGTGTTTCTAATTTGCAGAGTACAATGAGGAGCGTGCTGGGCCCATCACAAAATAGTTTGCATAATCAGTCCACAAGTGCGCTATCAATTACAGCTAAAAATGCCAAGGAGGATTGTCAGGAGGTTGTACTGAGGAGATGACAGCTGAACGGGGTCTTGGAGCATGGTAGAGAATTCGCCAGTGTGACACTCCAAGCAGAAGTAAACAGAAGATAAAGGGCCTATACTCAGTAACACCCTCCCACGGAGGTGTAGCATCAGGACACTGGAAAATGAGTGGATCTGGGATTCCGGAGGCTCTTACGATGGACATAAGGTTTGAATCCACCCAGCCTAACCCCAGAGGGCGCAAACTTGAGCCTCGCGCTGTCCTGCTTCTCTCTCTCTCACACACTTCGGACCGAATCGCACCAGTTTTTCAGCAGCTGCCACTTAACTTTGTTTCCTCTCCTAGTTTTTCCCGAGAGTAGAGGTAAAATAAAGAGGGAAGCTCGGCTCCCACAGCCTGGTCCTTCTCCGCTCCGATGCCCTGTGACTCATCTGAACCCGAACCCAGCTCTGTCTGGCATTTAAGGGCTGTATCTCTACTGCCACTGGGTTTGTCTGCGTACGGCTTCATTGCTTGAAAGCTCCGAGGCCTCTTTGTGTTTTCAACCTTCCCGTGTAGGTAAAGCAAGGAGTGGCATCCTTTTTTTTGTTTGTTTCTGAGTTGGAGCCTCACTCGGTCGCCCAGACCGGAGGGCAGCGGCCGCTCCCGGCCCCCGCAGCCTCGACCCGCCGGGCTCCGGGATCCTTCCGCCTCCGCCCTCCGAGGAGCCGGACTACAGGCGCGCGCCACCACGCCCGGCTGATTTTTGATTTTTATTGTAGAGATGAGGTCTCGCCAAGCTGCCCAGGCGTGTCTCGAACCGCGGGCTCAGGCCATCCGCTCACCTCGGACTTCCGAAGCGCTGGGATTACAGGCTGAGCCGCCGAGCCCGGCCTGGCATCCCCACTTACAGCGAGGGCCAGACCCTGAGCGGTTCGGTGATGGGCACTCCGCTTCCCAGGCGTCGGCCTGTCCACCCGCAGAAGGGGGCGGCCGAGCTGTATATTCCTTGCCACCAACCAGTTAATCACTCTGAACCGGCTCAGATCGGGGCGGCAATTTGGGAGAAAGCCCGTCTCCGGGGCATCCGACGAGGTCTCCAAGTCCGCAACGGCCAGCGTCGGCGGCGCCCCAGGAGGGCGAGGGCGCCAGGCCCGCCTCGCGCGGCGCTCTGCGCGGGGGCAGCAGAGAAGCGGGCACCGCGCAACCCCGGAACGGACTGCGCCGGGAGCGGGGACGTGTTTGGGGAACGAACTCGCGGAAGGACGAGCGCTACGCCGCGAGGGCCTCACTTCCGGCTGCGGCGGGCCGCCCGGGCAGGCCTCCGCCTTCGGCTCCCTGGTTGACCCGCGGAGGCGGCCGCGGGGCCCCGCATGCTTGTTCCGGCTGCGGCAGGCCCGGGATGTCCTTGGCCGTCGTGGTTCGCAGATCGCAGCCG